TAATATATATTAATTATTTTATTAGTTATTAGTTATTTTTAACAATTAAATTAAAATAAAATTTTGACAATTTTAATAGTCTTAACAAAATTAGTGGTGGTAATAACCATAGTCAATAGAGAGGGGTGTCATTAATTTCTCTATTTTTTCAAAATTATAAAAAGAAAACAATTTTCTTACGTGGATTTGGGATGTATTGTTTTTACACCATATAAACTAAAGAAATGTTAAACAAAAATTTTGGCTTTTCTTACAAGTTGAAAAAAGGTTCATGAAGATTTTGAGGTTAATCAATAGATTTTTCTTTAGTTTTATTTTATTTTATTTTAATTTTGATTATGAGTTATATAATCGAAAATAATTTTTTCTCAATCTTTAACTCACCACTTTTACATATTATACGATTTAAATTTAAAATTTTTTATTTTTATTAAAAAAATATTATTATCAAATTACTTAAATTTTTATATATTGTTCTAGTTAAAAAAACTATAAAACGGTAAAACTATCCGTAATTATTATGTTCAATTTTTTTGTCATAATAATACTCTAGGAAAGAACCACTAGATCTATTTCACCAAACATGGTATGATGGTATGGTCTCTAAAAAGTCGAAAGTGGGATCCTCTTCATTTTCCTACTTATTTTTCATTGGATGAGATGTAGTCCGCGAAAGAGTCCATTAATTATAGAACCATGACATATCTAATGTAGGGTCCTAAAACGAGGTAAACACAACTGTCAACAAATTAAATTTGAGCATAAGTTGTTTTAAATGATTAAAAATTTGGTATCTAAATTAAATATTTTAAATTTAAATCCTTAAAGTAAATGAGGAGGTATTATGGGAAGGAGAAGATTATTTCTTAATATATAGTTTAATTATTTTATGTACTAAAAAATACATATAAGTAATAAATAAGTAGGTTACAATTTCAATCACTTGAATTCATGTGATTCTATACGTAGATCTACTATTTTTGCATATAAATACTCATTATTATTAAGAGGATGATGCAAAAAATTAAGATATATTGTATTAAAAATACTAAAAAATTCAATTACAATTATAAAATAAATAAGATATAATGTAAATTTTGATTAAATCTCATCCATCGGATAATCAAATTTGAGACATTATGACTTTTTTAATATTATGGGGTCTTATTTTTATTTTTTATTTTTACAGTATTTATTGGGTGAGAATATGGGTGACATGGTGCCATGGTTTTGCTTACGTAGTGTAGTGTACCAAGATTTTCAAATAGTTGGGACAACAATTTTAGGTAAGAGCAAAATACACAAGTACCGAACCCTATGGCACAAAACAAATCAAAATAGAACCCCAAAAACATAATTAAACGAGACACCGACGAAAACGTGATGAAATCCAAGTGCATGGCATGGGTACCGGCATAGGCATGCACAGACAGAGTAATTAGTCGCACATAACCATGAACGCGTGCCAAGTAACACCCACCATAGCCGGCCCCAACACATAAACAAATTGCTTCTCTCATCAAGAAGAAAATGACACCTTAGAAAAACCTTCTCCTTTATTTAAAACTTAGTACTCCCTTTATGAAAATTGGTCCCTTACACCCAACTGAGATAACAAAATTTTCTTATATATATTATATAATTTCTAAGAGTTGACCAACATCGTTTTACAAAATTTATCACAATACCAAGGCCTAAGAACTCATCCTGTCTTCCCGTTTGCCTTCTTTGTACATTTGAAAGTGTACATCTTAAACATTACAAATATTTGAACTTGTGTGATTTTCGTTTAATTATGTAATATTTTCAAGTTAATGAATATTAACTCAATTAAATTCATGTTTTGAA